AGAACCTTGTTTTGTATTATTTAATTAACTGCATATATTACCTGTATGATCTCAATTATGTCTAAATTTACTTAGATATTTAGAAAAATAAAGAAAAGATCTTGATAGATATAATAAATTATTATGGATTTGTAAGATATGATCTATTGTGAAAAAATGTAACGGATATTAATGTTGCTAAAGAAAATAATTGTGTGTAAATACTAATCATTAATAAGAATTTGAAGTGATTTTCTAAGTGTTTCTGTGTAGTGAAAAAGAAAAATGGAGTTTTAGATCTATTTCAACAATTGTAGTTTAAAAGAAATTAAATTTCAGTTTTATAATTGCTATCATCCACTCACATTGTTTAACAATAGTGTTTTTACTATGTTATGTTTAATACCTAACATCATATTTTTACTGTAGGAGGTATTAAACATAATATATTGAAATTATTAACACTATTTTCCTTAAATTCAACTCTATATATAATTTGTTATGTGTGTACAGTGCTGTACTCGTGTGATTTATAATATGTTTACTTCTATATGTATAGCACTTCAAGAACACAAGATGTCTAGACAAATGTCTACAGATTCTGTGTCAAGTGTCAACTCTTTGTCCAGTGGTAACAGTGGAAATTCCAGATCTGGAGAAATGAGTGATGGAAAAGACAAGAAAAAGAAAAAAGGATGGGTGAGATACTAATCGTGTTACTCGTATTACAGTATATGATTGTGGATCTCTAATTATGTTATGATGTTTTATATCTTGTATAGAAATTCATGAAATGTGTTGTATTTATGAAATCAAAAGCTTCTAGTCATATGCCATAAAATTGAACCAGTTGTGTCACACGGTTTTCATAACATAATGAAAACTCGTTGATTATATCATTTTATATTTAACCAAGTAGAGGAAGATTTAATCATATCATATTTTTACTTCATGTAGTTGTAGTAGTTTCAAAGAAAAGTAGTCTGAAACTGGCCATTTTTCAACTATTAATATCTACTGGCTGAACTGAACAATTAAAAATATGTTATTATGAAGAACTTCTGACTAAAAAATAAGCAAACTATAAAGATCAGGAGAAAAATGATTTATAATTATATTATCGTGCGGATTAAGTGGTGGAAAGTCACCATTCGTATTGCATTATCTTGCACCATATAGTTGTAGATTACTAGTTGTACTGTTGCGTTTTATGTCACATAGATCATACAAACACTTTTCATCAGGTTATTGAAAATTTAATTCTTTCTAGGTGTGGGAGAGAGATCTGTATTTAAATAAGTTATATATGAAACTAGTTATAATAAGGGAGATTTAATAAACTTAAGATTCATAAAGAAATTCACACATTTATTTCTAAGATATAAAACAGTAAAAATGTCATATTCTCAAATTAAGTTATTTAGTGAGCCAAAAAAGAGGTACAGAATACTTGGTATTTAAAAAATGTTAATTTCTTTTATTTGTTTTCACATTCAGTAAACAGTTTTTCTTCTTTTTGTATATCGTCCACATATTCATTGTAGGAAAATTGTATTTTATTCATGTAGCTCCGAAGTTCTTTCAGCAAAGCCTTTTCTCGAAGTAAAAAAAATAAAAATGGATCTGTGTCTGACGTGGAAGACATTAGACAGTTTCAGTCAGATTCCTCTACTCCAAATTCTCCATTACTTGGCTCACACCATATTAATGGAGGAATACTGGGAAATACTGTCAAGTCATCACATTCCTCATCTGAGTAAGTTACATATCCTCAGCATAGGATCTAGCAAGCTAGATGTTGTACAAAAAAAATTCTCAGACGTAATTGAAGTACCTATTGTATTAAAAAATTTTGGTATAAGAAAATACTATTAGAATGTTTATTTTTTTACTAAAATAATTTTTAAAAGTCAATGTAGATATACTACATCTTGCAGTGAAACACATAATCAGTTAGAATAGAATATACAGGGGTTAATGCAACAGTTTTAATGCTTACATCCTAATGATAAAATGTTAATATATTAATATGTTCAATTAGTATATTAATAATAAAAGAAAAATTCATTTTAATACAGGATCTCTCCCTCAGCCAGAGGTAAAGTAATGTTTTTCTGGGTGACAGAGCAAGGAACTATAAATTCCAGCAATTGTTTCTTGGAGGTGTTGCATACACTGTTGGAAAGTCTGGAATCTACTGTATCCAAATATGCAATCCATATGATGGTAACATATTTCAAGAATACACATGGTTTCTGAGTGGATGCACCAACTTACCAGCAAGTCACATACAGAAATTGATTATCTCTCTTTTTTTTTTTTTTCATTATCAAACCAAATTATGTGAACTTTCTTCATTGTCTTTTTGAGGTTGGAGACCTTGTTCTTGCCTTTCTGATCTAGTAGAAGGCTACTACTACTACTATCACTACTGTACTTGTCAACACAAAACCTATTTGGAATACTGACACAGTATCTTTGACTTGATAGATGGATTTGCCCCAGCAAAGGAGATGTTAAAAAGTCAATTGTGATCATATCCACTGTGGCTGGAAAGGTTGTAAGTTGAACATCTGAGAACCTTGCAAGGGCATAGTGATGTTTGATAATTGTATGATGAAGAGGTCCTGTTACAGTCAGTGGGGCTTGGAGCTATCTGATGAAGATCTGTTGGGATCTAGTATGAAAAACAGATGTGATGATGAGTGAAGTAGAATAAGAAGGCTCACATAGTGGATCCTTCTCTACACAAGAAGTACTGTTATTAATTATGTGATTTAAGCTGATAATGTGACCAGCTATAATGTGGTTAATTTTTCCCCAATTTGTAAACGGAAAATTGTAATCATTGTATTTCATCGTATGTTACATCCTATATAAGTTTTACCAAGTCTACTAAATCTGCCATCAAAGTGTCTTAGGGAGGGAGAGACCCTGTGTTAAAGATAGCAACTATATTTGAAATGCTAAGGTCACTAATGCTCTAGAAAATGGTGAATTATCAAGTAATAGTTCAAGAATAATCACTAATTTGCATTTTCATAAACACATAACTGTAGTAAATGTTTATGTAACTTTTCATGTTTCACACTATCAAAGTTTGAAATTGGAAACTATTAGTATTTTAACCTTATTCATTTAGAGACACAGATTGATACCCTGAGGTGCAACAAGTGTTTTTGAATCATGCCATTGATATTCCAAGGGGTAATGAGTGTGTTTTTAATCCTGTTATAGAACAAAAATGTGTGCTTAGATACTAGTGAACAAAAATAGTTATGAAAGAATATTTCACTTATTTGTTTGTGATTCCAGAAAAAACTTTGAACATTGGTAACTAATTTTCTTCAATGTACTTCAATATTGTGATGCCCTTTTTTTACGTTTGTTATAAACAAATTTGTATTACATGCATTAACAATGTTCTTGAACATAATCCAGAGATGAAGGCTGAAAGTAAAAGAGTAATTAATATTCTTAGGCATTTTCTGCTTAAACAAAATTAATGTTAAAGATAGCTTTAATATTTATAAGCACATTCAACTGGCATTGACTCATATGAGAACTACCATAAATAGTCTGTACTATATTTTATATGAACAAAAATTGTTGGTGATATTGTATTTCCTTAAAAACTTTCGATATAAAATTTGATTCAAACTTTTAAAAAATGTTTATTGTTATTTATTCTAACCAGGTTATATGAGAAAGATGGTGATAGATCATCAGAGACAGTGAACAAACTCAAGAAACAGTTGAGAGAAAAAGAAATGGTTATTACAGATATTCGTCTTGAGTCTCTGACTTCAGCTCAACAACTAGAGACCCTAAAAGAAACTGTCAGCAAAATGCAGGTGCTTAAATATAGCTTACTGTGATGTTTCTAGGTGCTTAAATATAGCTTACTGTGATGTTTCTAGGTGCTTAAATATAGCTTACTGTGATGTTTCTAGGTGCTTAAATATAGCTAACTGTGATGTTTCTAGGTGCTTAAATATAGCTGACTGTGATGCTATATTTAAGCACCTAGAAACATCACAGTAAGCTATATTTAAGCACCTAGAAACATCACAGTCAGCTATATTTAAGCACCTAGAAACATCACAGTCAGCTATATTTAAGCACCTAGAAACTTACTGTGACGTTTCTAGGTGCTTAAATATAGCTTACTGTGATGTTTCTAGGTGGTTTATGTATCTTCATTGAACTTTTATTTACTAGAAATACAGTTTACTATGCATTCTTTGTTCCCCTCCCCTGATGGGTCAGTGGTAATAAGTTTACAATGGACTTACAACACTAAAATCCTGGATTTGGTTATACGTGGTAAACAGATAGCTCATTATATAGCCTTGCACTGAGAAAACAAAAACTACTACATATATTCTATTGATAAAAGTGTTGAGCTTAGAAAGAGATTTTTCATTGTTATTAGACATTACTTAGGTCCATCCCCTCTAGAAAAAAGTGGTCACAACAAGTTCTTTGTTTGATTAAATGTCAGAACAACTCATTCTCAAGTTGAAGCAAATTTATAAATATGACACATTTATGACTGTTTAATGTAAAATTTTGTTTTTATATATTTTTGTTAGAATGAAATGGTGAACTTGAAACAAGACAATAGCCGATTACAGAAACTTGTATCCACAGACTCTCTTACCTCATCTCAGACTTCCTTGCTTCTTAGAAATAGTGCTGAAAGCCTTGAAAAGAGATTAAGTGCCTCCGAATGCTCAGGACCATCTGGTCTTGGTAAGATATTTTCTATTCAGGTGTGGTAAGTTTTAGTGTGGTGAAAGTCAAAAGATAAAATAGCTGCATCAGATAAGTAGGATCACACAGTATTTGTTAAAGAAACAGAACTGAAATTCTAGAGATAAAAGATAAAAAAACCCATTAAACCTTCATAATACTTGTGATCAGTTAGTGTTTGTAAGTTGTTTCTGTATTTATAACTAAAATTGAGGGAAAATAGTTACAAGAGTATTTTGGTCTTATCTATTGTTGGTAATTTACCTCTTGATTAACAAAATTTGAAATTTCAGGACTGAGAAGTGTCTCAAGATCTTTATTAGCTACTGCTTTTGAAGCTGTCTCTTGATTTGTCAAAACCTAAAACTTTGAGAAGGGCTTTAAGTATTCATAAACATCCATTTTTCATAATGTCTTTTTAAAAAAATGAAATAACAGATTCTGATAAAAGTAATAAAATTATTCTTTGCTTAAAATGTGGTTTAATTATTTAAAGATAAAACTGTTTTCTTTTATGGTACTGGTACTATTATTTACTTAATTGTGAATAATGTCCTGAAGACAGTCTGTTCATGGTTGATAAAATGTTAGCAAATTGTTTGTGTGAATACTTTGTTATATGCAGTCAAAGCTAGGGCTGACACTCTGATACAGGTAGTATGACATTTGGGTGATGTTACCATTCAATTTAAGTTATATTGTATGTAACTAAGTCCTGTTTTGAGTCTGGTACTGATTGGTATTATTTTAGAATGGTTTTACAGATAAATTTATATTGCAAGTATACTTTATGGGGTGAATGACACTAGTGTTGGTTGATATGACATTCAATGAATGATGTGTCAATTCTCTACTCTTGCATATAACTAACGCACTGCTCAGTTCTGTGTTATTGTGTGAAACTAAAGCCTGGATCAACACTGGTAAGTTGATATGATTAAGTGTTGGAACAGTTCTGTGTTTATTGTAAGTAACATAAGGTGGGATTTAAAATCTGGCACTAGATGATATGAACTTAGGTAACAGGTCAATTCTGTGTTATTGTATGTAACTAAAGTTTGAACTGACACTCTTGTACTATTTGTTGCAAACTTAGATATTTAAGGTATACTGTGTCATTCAAGGAACGTTTCTAGTTCTGGTTAAGGAAAGAAAGAAAATTGTTATTTGTGTGTAACTAAAGCCTGGATTGACACCCTAGTACTAGATGATATATTGTTTGGTTATTTCTGTATATCAGTTCACTGTTATACTGTGCTGAGTGTAAGTAAGGCTGAGAATCACACCGTACTAGACATGACTTGATTTCACTATAAAGAAACATGTTTCAGATGAGGAGTTGAGATCAATTAAATATTTCTGTGTTTCAATTATTTAGGAAAAAAGTAAATAAGAGTTGTATTTAAATCTGAATTATTTCTCTCTCTTATAATTTATATTTCAACAGACATATACCTTACTGATGCTGCAAATGATCGAGAAGGCAAACATGTAACCATATCGGTATTTTTAGGTTGCCATGGTGATTATAACAAATTCAAAACTCAAAATGAGGTAAGAAATTTTCTAACATTCATTATAAAATTACTTTACAAAATTTTTTTATCTATATCAGTATACATTTAATTTACAACTAAGGTAAAAATAGAAATTTCAGATAATATATATCAACAAAAAGCCATCCATCCATCTGTCATGCGAATATTTCGGCTGTTGCGCTACTGATCGACAAGCAACTTCACGAAATGATGATGATTTCTGCTGCAACAAGCAAGTTTGTCTTTTTAAAATTCTTTCAGCCATATATTCATAAAACAAACGATGCATTACTTTTGGATAGTTAAACATCATCTGCCACATATTGGTCCAAGACATCAAATTATCTCCCTGTAAGTCTGTAGCATCCTTGATATAGTTAACCACCCCAAAAATATTAATGTCATCTGTAAACTTCAAAATTTTGTTGGTCTTTCCAGAGTCAATATCATTAATATAAATCACAAACAGCAGAGGACTTAACCCAGGAAGACAGTCATAATAAAATTCACTGCCTTTACTATCACAGTTAATCATTTGCAGGGTCGTACAGTTGACTAAGAAGGAATGTGTCTTTGAGAATCAGTTTTTTTGCATGTTTCAATCTATAAAGTTTTATTAAGAAGAACATTTGAACATAACTTAAAAACATACAGAAGTCAAAATGCTAATCAAGCAATATTTAAAGGAGATGACCAAATATACATAAAAAATGGTTTTCTCCATACATATATTGTTACTATATTATAATTAGTTTTAAAAAACATATTCATAAAACATTCACATAGATATAATTTTGAGAAGAAAACTTAATCATTATTTCCAATCATATGATGGTCATTCAGCTTGTTATAATATAAATCTATAGTTACTGTTTTTATGTCATGCAAAGAATCCTAAATTGTTAAAACATTAACCCAGTTGAAAATAGGATCCTCATTGGTAATTATTAATTCATGAGAAGAATATGTTCAGATTTCATATTGAAAAATACTTCTTATGAGATAACTGTGACCACAAGCTCTAATAGGACTAAAGAATAACAGGTTATTAACATTGTATGTATGTATTGATAGCTTTAAATTTTGTTTTCTTTGTTGATTATATAAGGTAAATGTTATTGAAATAAAATAGGAATAATTACAAACTTCATTTACTAATTTTAAACCATACACTCTTCTTATAGAACATCAGTGAAGTTCTTATTGGAGCTTTGTCAGTCAGTGGAAAGACAAAGTGGGATATTATGGACAATGTATTAAAACGAATTTTTAAAGTAAGGCTTTTGTTTTGGTGTTTCCGTCTATTTTTTCTTTTATAATGTACACTGCTTATGCAAGGAAGATACAATTTCTATTATGTTCATTATATCGTTAGAATATATTATTTTAAAAATACATGACTTATATATTTTATCATATATCTAATATAATAAAATATGTTTTTATATTTTTGATGTGCACTTATGAGTTTCTGTGAAAATAAATAACTACAGTTAATGACAGAATTGAGGAAAAACAAGACAATTGTACATTTCACAAATACATCATTTATTCATGACCATGGTTTTGCCAGTAAAGGCATTGACAGGTACAGGGCAAAATTATGGTCATGAATAAAGGATGTATTTATGATACATACAATTGTCTTGTTTTTCCTCAGTTCTGTAATTGTGGAGTTTCACCAAGTACTGACGGTTTCATGTATCAAGTACGGTTAAGTTTGAAGTTTAGTGAAAGCAAGTAAAGACATTAACAAAAACTTATATATATATATATGTGTGTGTGTGTGCAATAAATTTTTATTGTAAAGGACTTTTTAATCTTGCAGAAATGTGATCAACATTTTACAGAAAGACCCCAAAAAACATTTACATGAAAAGTAATGTCAAATATTTGAGCAGTGATAAATAATTAAATTCAACAAGTTTATTGGCCTATTAAGGTTTATTATAACAACACCCAATTATTTAGGAGTTCATCCATTTCATTAATTACTTTCATTTCATTCTATAGGAATATGTTCAAAGGATTGATCCAGTATCAAACCTGGGATTGAACACAGAGAGTGTTTTAAGTTACCATATAGGGGAAATTGTCCGAGCAAAAGGTAGATATTGAGCTGAAAAATAGTGAGAATAACACTGAAGTATTATGCATATTGAGCTGAAAATAATGAAAAAAAACAGTAAAGTAATATTTTTCATTAATTTGATGGACAAATTCATGTTTTAATTAATTTTGTATGCTTACTACAATGATAAGTGCCATTCAAAGCACGGATCACTAACATTTATTGCTAAAATTCTATCAGTATGTGCATCAAAACCATAGTTGTTTTTCTATGATAACTATTATTTATCAATTAGTCTGATTTTAATCTGTTTTATCATAGTTAAGAAATGTTTTCTTATCTCATTTTCAGAAATACAGTGCTCCTTCTTTAGACAATTAAATTACACTTATTCTGTCTTTGCATATTTTGTTTTTAACATCTTGTCATTAATTCATATTTATTCACTTAAAATACCAATTTATTGAAAACTAAATTCTGTAACTTTATTTCCATTTTCACCCAAACATCTAGAAAACAAAAACTCAAGTAAGTTTCTTTTTACTTTTTAATCATTTTGTAGTTAAAATTATTAGACAAGCTTTGCAGTAATTGAGGAAATGATTAAATGTTTTATAAACTTTAAACTAATAATCTTTACACTTAGAAAGTTTCAATATCCATCTTGCTTGTGTGCAAAAAGTATTTTGAAACATGTTTTCTATTCTAAGATAAGATTTATGACTGTAAAAAGTTAAAATCTCGATAACATCATAAATGAATTTTTGGGGTTTACAGATGCAGAATTACCTGAATTATTACCTTGTGGTTACCTAGTTGGTGATGACATGCAAATACGAATCACTTTAAAGGGTAAATTCACAGCTCTACAGAATTTTTTATCTCTTGTTTTTGTTGTAGCCAATAAGATTAAATAAGTAATGGTTTAAATTTATGAAACTCAAACTTTTGCATTTCAGAGATGCATGAATTATCGATATTTTTTTTACACTTCCAGTTGTGTTACTTTGTTTATCAAGTAAATTACCAGCAAAGAATTATTCTGTTAATGTAACTTACTGTGTTAGTGTAAAATTAATTAGTTAGTTGGTGAATCAATAATATATACATATATATTTAAGTTCAGTTTTTAGTATTTTTAAGGTTTCAACTTGTTAACGATATGGTTTTAACTTCTTTTTTTTTCTAGCATTATAATCTACAATTTTTATTCTCTCTAGAACTTATTGAATTGCATTTCAAAAGGAAATGATTATGTTGCTGTGCTGTGTGTGACAGTTTTTCTTTATTAGTTACAGATACTAATAATTTAGCTATTATATAAATGAGTATGTGATTGCTCCTTTACTTCATAAGCCATCACTGACTTGTAAAGCTCAGATTATTTTGTGTATTTTCTTTTGGAAAGGCACAAGTCAGAGTTCTGTGGAAGGTCTCACATTTGAAACCCTTATTCCCAAGTCTATAATTCAGCGGTATGTGTCATTGCTGATGGAGCACAGGAGGATCATTTTGTGTGGGCCAAGTGGAACGGGTAAAACCTATCTTGCTCAGAAACTTGCAGAGTATCTTGTCTTGAGGTATATTCTTTAATTGTTGTGTGGTCAAATTATCTGTGTTTCAATAAAATTAAAAAACTGGCTTGCATAAATATAATAAATACAAAGTGTTTGAACATGATTTACAAACTGACTTACATAAATATAATAAATACAAAGTGTTTGAACATGATTTACAAACTGACTTACATAAATATAATAAATACAAAGTGTTTGAACATGATTTACAAACTGACTTACATAAATATAATAAATACAAAGTGTTTGAACATGATTTACAAACTGACTTACATAAATATAATAAATACCAAGTGTTTGAACATGATTTACAAACTGACTTACATAAATATAATAAATACCAAGTGTTTGAACATGATTTACAAACTGACTTACATAAATATAATAAATACAAAGTGTGGCATAAAAATTAATAATCTAGGTTGCATTAATATAATAACCACTAGCAGCATATATGTTTTGAATTCTGTGGTTCATAAGTACAATAAAACATATTCTGAAGGAATTCTATTTAGAATAAAAAGAAAAAAACAATAATTTAAAGAACAAACATAGTTTAAAGTTGACTTTTACAAGGGAAGTTAGGTACAGTTTGTAAAATGTTTCTCTCTTGTACATGTAGGAATACTTTAATAACAACAACAACAAATATAAAGATAATCATTTCTTGTTAATAATGAAAATTACTTCTCCGTCTCTGCTTCCAAATAACACTAAAGGTAAATATTATATATGCAAATAATTTATTAACCATACTACATGCAATTAGTTCTTGGAAAATAGAAATAGTTTCAGGAAAGATGCAGGTTTTTCAACTTAGAAAATTTATTCACGTAGATATCTTTGTTTTTGTTTTATATAGAAATGGAAAAGAGGTCAGTCCTGGTGCTATAGCAACATTTGGGGTTGACCACAAGTCAGCTAAAGAACTTCGACAGTATTTAACTAATGTAGCAGAACAATGTGAGAGTAGGTAAGTTAAAAAACGTATATTTGTACATAAGACTTGATCCCTTCAAAACTGTAACTAATTATAAAAAAACACATAAAGGTGATATAAATATGCTTTAGTTGTCAGTAAGAAATATTTTAGTACTTATTAACGCTTTAACTTAGTTTAACTTTAAAAAGTACAAAATTTTTAATGCTTGTTCAATTGAAATCAAATTACTTTCAATAAAAAAATTTTATTTTCTTGATCAGAAACTCTGTATAAGAGTAATGCTCTTTTTTAAAGAAAAAGTAATATTATGTTGATGTGTTATTACTATTTTTTACTCTGTCTTTTATGACATATATTTTGCACTCATTTCAAACAGTTTTGATAACACAGGCCTGCAATGATTTTATTGTCTTGAAATTTTTATATGTTCTACAGTAATTCCTGTACGCTGAATCCGAAAATGGTATCCATTTTTCTCCATCATATACAGATTTGTCACAAAACATCATATGTACTTTTACATAAGTGAATCATTTTCATTGAAATTGGGTCACATTTTGTTATGCTTAAAATGTTGACAACCACTGGCTATAGATTTCTCTAGACCAATCATTGTGGTAAACAAAATAACAATTTGATCTAAGTAAGTTTTTTTTCTTCCCAATTTGTAAAAAAAGTCCTTACTTGATAGAAAAAAAAAGAATATTATTTTCAAAATCTGCTTAGCTAAATTATGGAAAATCCATTATTAAAACCAAAACAAATTTTATAAATTTTAAATTTGCAGGCCTGTGTAATTTGTACTACAAACTATCTAGAAAAATCATAAGTTCTTAACCTCTTATTTTTTTATAATTACACACTTTCCTTTTATTAATTATAAAGAGTTTTAGTATGGCATAATTTTCTTTTGCTTTTTTCCAGTAACCCCTCAGATCTTCCAACTGTGATAATTCTGGATAATCTCCACCATGTGGGTTCTTTAGGTGAAGTGTTCAACGGTTTCCTTAGTGCCAAATATCAGAAATGGTATTTCTATTGATATCCCACTTTTATCAAAGCTTTTATAATCCATATTAATATATAAATAAAAATACTTTAGAAAATTAAAAAAAAAAAAACCTCAAACATAAAAATATATAACACAAAAAAATCTGTTGTAAATACATCTTTATGTAACGAAATAAGATATACAGGAAATATCTGTACTATTAATGCATACAAATGATTTTGTAAGGATTGATTTTGCTAAATTTTTTAAAAAGACAATTGTTTTTGATATATATAAAGCTTCAGGTTAAGTTCTGCATATAAACAAGTAATTATATATAATATATAAACTGTGTAATTGTTTAGTTTGTATAGAGTAAGGATAACCTAATTCTGCAATAACTTTAAATAGAGTTTCCACAATCAGTGTCAAACAGCGGATTGTACAATTGAAACTGAGAATGATGACTCGTCTTTTCTTTCTCATGTTTTTCTTGTAGTCCATATATTATTGGAACAATGAACCAAGCCACTTGCTCAACAACAAACCTCCAGCTTCATCACAACTTCAGGTGAGAATTTTATAACGTACAATGTATAATATATAATATATATACTTGTCAAAATAAATTAGAGATCTAAGAACTTTATAAACAACAGTAGTAAATATTCATTTTAAATTGCATTTTTGTACATTGGTGGTATGTATTTATATTAGTGTCACAGGAATCAGATAAATTGTTGATAAATTTCACATTGACAGAAGTCAGTATATATTTGGACAATTTTTAAAATCCAGCATGATGTTTGAATAAATATTAAAACATCTTCCTAACTAAATTTTGCATTAAGAAAATGGCTCATTAATTTTACTTATTACTAGACAAAACCATTAAATCTGTTGGGATGCTTGAAAGTGAGGATATTCAAGCTCTGTTACTGTTAACTTTGGATTCAGAAAATATGATTTCCAGTTTAAGGACAAAATACCAGAAAACCAACAGTGCCAAAGAATTCCCAAGAAGTGGCAGCCAACAATCCCAATGCAATAGCAACAACAATATATAGTAACCAAGCTTGGTGAAATCTCTTTTGTTAATGCTTTGAGGCTTAATAGAAAGTTTCCATCAAGCCACTGTAATTCAAGTCACATCAAAGGTTGTTCGAAACAGGTTATACATAATCAATCTTAGAGCTTATATCCATGCTGGAGAACCAAGACTTCTGCCACTGGCACCTTGGCATCATGTGAAGAAATAATTTGGAGAGCACACCAACTAGTGATAGTTATCATGACAGGTTTGGTGGTTTTGATGATGTACAACCACAAGAGACGTACTGATCTGTACATCATTAGGAATGACACTTTTGAATGTTGTGCATTGTGGGAACAAGATCCTGTTGGTCTCTTTCTTTGGATTTAATTATATTGGGTTGATGATAATGCTTGGTCTCGGAGGTGTGCATCACTACCCAAATGCCCCACAGTGGTATGTCTGCAGACTTATACTGCAAGAAACCAGGTTTTGATATCCGTGAAGGGCAGAGCACAGATAGCCTAATGTGTAGCTTAGTGCTTAATAACAAACAACAACAATCTTACTTAAATATAATACAAAACTGTCAAGAGACTGGACTAACCAGAATTTTCTCTCAACTGTCAAAACAACATGTAGGCCATATTTCATTCCTGTTTCACCTATCATATATACTAAATCAGCTGAGAAGTGCCCTGGGGAGGGAATGGAAATACATTCCCAAGAACTCCATCCAGTATTTAGATATTCATTAAAATGGTGGAGTTAAGTGACTTGAAATAAACACAGAAACTATTAAATTTCACATAAATTTTCTGAGAATTGTAGTTTTTATAACCCTGATTTGTGGTGTTGCAATAGATTCCCCCGAAATGTCAAGTGGCAATGTGTTAAAGGGCTGTTGTAAATCGTTTTTCCATAATTACAACCTGATATGTTATAACGTTGTCATAAGAATATGATAGTTTTTAATACTGTACGAGTTATAATTTTGTACCTTGCAAAGGTGATGGTTTGAAACATTTGTCACAGTTTAAGGTAACAATTTCGTGACTCCATTTCAAATCATGGGCCATTTTCTTCATCACATCTTACTTTCATCAGAAACACTTATGTGAATAATAAATCATTTTAACTTCAGAAAAGGAATAACTAGTGAATGTTTTTTGTATATGTTTATGTATGTATGTGTCTGATTTATTTATCTTTATTTTAAAAGAAAGAAATTTTCAACATTTGTAAGATTGTGAAGTTGTTTTTGGTTTATTTCTTTCATCATAGTTTTGAAATATCCAATTTTGGAAAACATTTGATACATTATTTACATTGTCTTAAGTGTGTACACATATACATAATCTGGTCAAGAAATGTGTATTATTTATTTTCATATAGGTGGGTCCTTTGTGCTAATCACATGGAACCTGTGAAGGGGTTCTTAGGCAGATACCTCAGGAGAAAACTTGTAGAACATGAAATCCAGAGTGGTTCACAGAATCCAGAACTTACTACTATTATTGATTGGATGCCAAAGGTGTGGGCACATTTGAATAAGTTTCTAGAAACCCATAGTTCATCTGATGTTACTATTGGTAAGTGACAAATTTCAAAAGACTATGATAATTTGATGTTTCCAGAAAAAACAATTAAACATGCTATCTAAATGTGAGTGCAAAAAAAGTATTATTTTTTCTTCTGGGGATATTCGAAGAAAGAAGAGTTTTTAATGTTATTTATTAGAAACAGTTGGTACATTATTTCAGTATTTTAACTTTTTTTTTTTTTACTTTCTTAAATATTTTCATATTTCCAGAAGTAGAAATAGTGTGGAGACAGTGATGCTTCTTAAAAAAAAAATAGAAGTTATCTGTTGAACAACAAGATATAATGGACCCGTAACTGTGGACTAGTGGGTCATCTTTTTGAATATGTACCTCTGGATCTAGATTCATCTTTGTTTTGGATCCATAATTTTGTGGCTGGAGGTTTAGATATGTAACTATGGATTCCTTTTCCTTTTGGGCTTGTAGAGTTTCTTACAAACAGATTTATCAGTCTGTACATGTTAAATTGCTACTGTTTAAATATTAAAGACATTTCTCTGTTTTTTTTAATTAACAATTTTGTTTTACTTTTATTCATCCCTTATCATGTATTATGGTAGTTTTATTATGTTGTTTTAAGTAATCAGTTTAAAAAAAAATTAAAAAGCTTAACAGTGTTATGTGCTTGTAATGAAAATGCAAAGAAAAATTTGTACTCAAGTTATATGTTCATTCATAATACAATACCAATTTTAGGGATAAAGAAGTAGCCACTGTTATAATTTCTGTTAATTCTTTTACACACACACACACATATATATATATATAAGGATTGCTTAATATTACCTAACTTGCTGCCATTAAATATCACACATATGTATCATTTCCAGGTCCCAGATTATTCCTGTCATGCCCTATAGATGTTGCTAGTTCCCAAGTTTGGTTTACAGATCTGTGGAATTACAGTATTGTTCCATACCTCTTAGAGGCAGTCAGGGAAGGTTTACAGGTACACTGTTTTATTCATTAGCTCTGAAAATTAACGTACACTTGTTTTTAAAGATGTGTCTGTAGAAGTTAAAATTGTTTTTTTAGTTTTTAATATATCAATATAGTTCTATGGTAACTAGATATTATACAAAAGTTAGTTTATAAACCTCAATCAATAACATTTTGATCATGTCTTCTAAACAATAATTTTGGATTTTTCAAGATGTATCATTCTGTTGTTGCTCCCATATGTCCAAATTAAGCAGTAAGTACAAAGAAAATACTGTGTGTAACCATTAATTTATACTTGTACTTTAGTGGTGCAATACTTTAATGCAATTCTCTGATAATGAATTAATTAGCATCTTTCTTCTATCTAAACAGTTTTACTTGGAATAAATATATAACTATAAATTTCACCTTTACATTTTGTACAGTTTAATATTCTGCTGTAGTTACAAAGTCACTTTTCCAGCCTCTGGTTATTATCTATATGGTAATTGAGTATTCATCTGTAATTTTTATTATCTATAGTTATATGGTCGCCGGGCTCCCTGGGATGATCCAGCAGATTGGGTTTATGAATCTTACCCATGGCCAACTTCAGGGGAAGGTGAGTGGCCTCAGTTGCTACGACTGCGGCCAGAGGATGTGGGATACGAAAGTCATCCATCACCAGGTGCAACTACCAAAGGTTCCCAAGGAGCTCAAAGTGATGTAGAAGCTGATCCTTTGGTAAGATGGTTTTTCCATCAGAAGATGAACATAATGCAGTTTTTTATTACCTACTTCTTAATAGTTTTATACTGGTATACATAGCTGAAAATTGCAAATTAGTTTCATTTTAAAACTTAACTACTTGTATTGGTAATTCTGTAATTTCAATACTTAACTTAATCCAACACTGATGAACAATATACTTCCCATCACTAATTTGTTTATATATACGCTGTTACCTACATCAGTTATTAAAATTTAATAGAACAGGTTTAACCAACTCTGAAAATTTAGTATCAAAATTCATTTATGGCAATTAGTAAGTGTAGTTCTTGAAAGAGTCACTTATGACATTATCTCATTACTTCTGAGGCCAATAAAATCTTCTGACACATTTTATTAATAAAAAATGTTTTCTTCAGTCTTTGCTCCTGATGAAGAAATAAGAAAATCAAAAATTTAATATAACTATCGCAAGTCATGCACGATCTTATATGCTGAAAATGTTTGTCTACCACAGTCCTATTTTCTGTACTTATATGCCCAAATATGTCGTTCTTGTTGTTATTATAATCATTCAAGAATACTTTTTACCAAAATTACTTAAAATTGACTTTATAATCAACAAATGAGAATGATGAATAATTTTAATGAACTAAATATTAAGAAATAAAATATGTTTAAAATGGATTTTTCTCCATTGGAATAAAAATAGAAAAAAATAAAGCTTAATTCTAGAATTAAAACAATTTTATATATATCATATAAGTTCTATATATATGAATTACTGTTTCTTTACAGCTAAACATGCTTATGAGATTACAAGAAGCTGCAAGCTGCTCAAGTCCTCATGGTAACGATGGCGACACTACTATCAGTGATCATGATCATACTTTTACTTCCACTGACCTCATGACTGGAGATACTGTGGAATCTACACTTTGAGAACATCCATCTAAGTCTCTCTCTTTGTCTGAAAACTATTAGCACAGACATGAACTTTCAGACTCTGTATTAAAATTTACTAGGAATGATCTACTTCTGAAAGAAATGTTTCACTTTTGTAAAGTTCTTCAAAGTATTTCTTTGCTTTTAAGAAAAATACACGTGTACTAAAGTTTTGTAAAATAGTCATTTTCGGAAGGAAATATTGAAAAACTTTTGTATGATTATTTGAAATTTATATCTCAACTGTTGATTTCTATGTATCTTATTAACATGGTGTGTTATTAGATAAGTTTATATACGAAGAACAAAACATGCAAGGATATGTCATACAGAATTTGGGTGGTTCTGTTATGAAAGCAGAAAGTGCTCTTTTAAGAAAAAATTAAAAGTTCAAGGAAGTCATTTTTAATGTTGCAACTTCATTCTAAGATACAACCTAGTACAACAGATATGTTATTTAGTGGTATGATCACACGTATTGTAATATTTATTTGTAGCATCACAAACTTGTAATTATATTTTTTTAACTAGACCTTTTTTTAGAAATAACAGATGGTAAATTTATAACAGTACGACAAGGTTATTTGCACAACTGAGAATTTGTAATGTGACATATTTTTATTTATTTATGGAGCAAGTGCATTTATACTGTATGTTGTGATATTTTGTACTGTTCTGATATGATTACCACATTTAGAATTAAGTGCTAGAAAAAACGTTATTTATTTTTCTGGTGTGATACTTCAACTAAGTGGGTTCTGCTATTACTGAGTAATATAAAAATATGTTTTACATTTTAGCTAGCTTTAGATGGACTCACTTTGTATTAATATTGGGTTTTATACCTTTGCGAGCTGTAGATGGGTTCTGCTAATACTTAACACTGCACATGAACATTGATTTAACTGGTAATATACTTAAGTTGGGTTGTAAAAGTTCGTGCCAGTTTTATTCATAAACTGTTCACCTAAATTCCACTTCTTTTCAAAGTATAAACTAAACAAAGTTTTTCTTTCTCTTCTCAAATGAACGTTATAAGTACACAAGTACGTTTTTATATCTAAATGCATAAATAACTGTAACGAATCAGTACATTTCTAGACACACCAAAGAAATGTGTGTACTTTAAGTAATTTCTTTATAATTAAAATTCTTATCAATTCCACTAAATTGAACCATATTTTATCAAGGTTGTCTAATTTGAGAGAAGAACTCTTCTTCTTTTTTTTTTATTATTATTATTAAGATTAAAAAAGGATTGTGGTATAATGGGTGATTAAAAATGGGGACTAGAACAAGAGTCCGCCATCAGAACTTTTACTGGTACTCTAAACAAGTTTCCAAGCTGTACATTTCAGCGTTTGTGGAATCCTACTCGTGGTCTATCAAATCAAGGAGCTGTAGTCTGTAGAATCACAATGTTGTAAATGAACTGAGAACGTGAAGATATACGCACCGAAGGTTCGTCAACCATCATAATCAAAGGCGTTCAATTATGTTGTCCTGAACAAAGTATTGCATAACTCAGAAGTAACACCAGTTTTGGGGCACTTGATTAGCTTGTCGTGGGTAATTGAGTTATCTATAGTGTATAATGCTAGTGATGAAAGGTAGCATAGTACGTACTGTAAAATCTGGTAAGATGTGTTTTAGCTTCCACGCCTGATATTTTCTATAGTAAAGGAATATCTTCTGTCACTTTGTATACCTTGGTGTATCTGTGAGCACTCGTGTAGCTGTTCTATACAACTTGTAGTAACAGGTTATAAAAAAAATAAACTTAATAATGTGTGTGTGTGTGTTCTGACTTGTATGTTTTTATTTTTGTGGCGGAGTGGAACATTCGTTTGTGTTCTTTTATTTTTAACCAAAGACTGCGATAATGTATGAATAATTGTTTTGTTTTTGATAATATTAAAACTCTAGAAAAGTGTGTTATTTCAATCAATTTGACATACAAGAAGATTTCTCTAATGTATATGCTTATAAAGCTTATTTAATTTGTATGCCATAATGTGTAAGTAACGTCATTACCTTTTTGTAACCAACTGAATATAAAATAACTCCCACCTTCACCCCGGTCAGTCTGACCTCAGTATTTTTTTGCCTTCCTTCTCCTCCGGTCAGTTTGACCTTAGTATTTTGTCTAAAATTGTAAAGCTGTCTTGTATAGATTTTGTAAATAAAACAAAATGTTTTTGACAGAGGATTTTGCATTCTTGATTAACAAAAATAAAAAAAAGTCGTCTCGTTACACATTAAATATTTTCTGTAAACTACATGTTTTTATATTTATCCTATATGGTTATACAGCGTAGCTCGTTGAGATAAGATAATACCAAAAAGTGAAGTTAGTAGATCAATTTTAGTATCCAGTTGTAAGCGAAGGCCTAATGCCTAATTTAATTGAAAGGTTTACAGTCTACTGTGCATTTGTATATGCAACCTCTTAGGGCTAAAAGGGGCATTAGAACATGATATAAAAACTACTTCCTTGACGCCTTTAATTAAAAAAATATTCTTTGCCTTCTTTTTTTTTAAACTGAAATATAATAAATTTTGTGATGTTTCACTTCTTGATTTCAAGATACCCGACCCCCAGTGGTACAGCGGGCTTACAACGCTAGAATCCGGGTTTCGATACCCGTGGTGGGCAGACCACAGATAGCCCATTGTGTAGCTTTATGCTTAATTACGAACAAACAAACTTCTGACTTATTTCAACAAATAAAAGTTGATATTAAAGCCGGCTGTGATTTTTCCTCTAAAATACTACTGACTTATTTCAACAAATAAAAGTTGATTGGTAAATATTTTAGGGTGTCCTATATGATATTATTTGAGCCTCAGTTTGAAGTCCATTAAAAATGGTTGACATTTTTAATGGACTTCAAACTGAGGCTCAAATAATATCATATAGGGCACCCTAAAATATTTACCAATTTCGGAAAATGACCTTATGGATACAAAGAACGAGGGAACATAGCTACGATGAGATTATTTACTAAAAGGTATGTCTACCTTTGTGACGGAACTTGTTGAGATACCTATATTTATCAGGACAATATAATGCTGTTGATAATATAATCGACTGAATTTTATTACTTTTTTTTTTAAGTTACGGATAATAAGAACAAATCAGACTCATGAGAAACTATATTCATATTCAGATCAGCTTATATTGTTATGTAAAGCTAAGTTCAAACACAGGACATAAAACAAACAGATGTAATTTTATTCAAATCAGGTATACAACAATACTTTAAATTTTTTCGTTCTTGTAACTATTATTCTCCAAAAATGGTGAAATAGCTTTTATTAATCTAAAAAATATCAATTGTTTCTTTACGGAAATAACATTTCGTTTTCGGAAGTTCTAACAAATCACTACTAATTATTTCATTTTTTTTTTTTTCACTCACCTCCTACCTAGAAAGTCGGGATTTTTTATAGTAGTAAACTTACCACCTTTTACAAGAAATAAAAGACATGGGAATGAGAACGAAAATGTTAGTTGTTTTTTTCAAGTTTTATGGTTCAATAAATCCTGAGCTTTCCTGCACGTATAAGTTATAAAGATGAAAATAACAAACATGAAAACTTGAAACGAGAAGTACTGGAGGCAATGTAAACAAAGCAATGGATAAACTCCTAAAAACTAATTTTGGCTTCGCTAAAATGGCATCATTGATTAAATCATAGTGCTGTGTTTAAGGAGACACGCCCACAAGTTTTTGTCGGTTCTCTTCCAAAAGATTTTCTCGGTTTTTGTACAAGTATTCTCGGATGTGTTCTAAACCAGAAATCACACAAGTTGCCATTCCTGATCTATCAAAACGGAGTTCCGTGGCATGGTACCATTCGTTTGTCTTCCAATCAAAGCATTCTACGTTGACAATAGTTGACAATCCGTTGAAGCCACCTATGACGTAGATCATGTCGTCGATAACCTAAACAAGAAAAGGATATTTACATACATACAAACAGAAGTATAGCCTACAGTTTTATTTATTATAAGTTGTATTATGTTACCTCTTCTTTTTTTTACCCCATTCCAAAATTAGACCCTAAAATGTACTATTTGACTTTTATCTATATCTTACCGTCTGCTGGTGGTACGACAATAGATTTACGGATTAACAACGCCAATATTCGGGTTCGATTCCCCGCGGTGGATTGTGTGTAAAAAGCCCATTCTGTAGCTTTGCACGAAGAAAACAAAATCTTTCTTACCTCCATTCCAAAGTTAGATCTTGAAGTGTACATTTCCGGTACTTCTGACCAAGTGTTAGACATTGGGTCAAACTTTTCCCCTGTAGTTAGTCTGGAGCTCCCATCACAACCCCCCAAGACATACACCATATTATTGTACGTGGCACAGCAACATCCTTTTCTTCCAGTGGTCATTGGACGAACCAACGTCCATTGATCACTCATGGAGTCATAATATTCCACTGAAGATATACAGTCAAAGCCATCAAAACCACCTGCGATGAAAATATAACTGTTCCAAACGGTGGCACTTGCGTCGCTTCTTGGATAATTCATTTTTTGAATCACTGTCCACTATGTAAAGAAAACGCATAAAATAAGATGTTTATCTAAACATTGGTTAGGTTTTGAAGTTATTCTGAATGTGATGCACAAAATAATGGACACAAACTTAAACGTATTGCAAAGCATTGTAAATTAACAGCTTTATTATTTGTCTTTCTGTTGTTTAAGAGGGGACCAATCGGAAGATTGTACTTAACAGTTGGGATATACAAATAAAAATGTTACAGAATAATAATTTAAACCCTTTTTTATTCAACAATCATCATCAGTCTTGTTTGTTTTCAGAATATCGTGAAAAGCTATACATAGGGGTTGTCCGCACAACCTAACCTATTTTGAACTGATATACTAAAGGAAAAACGAATCTAGGTGATAAAGATACGGGTAAAAAAGAGAAAGAAAAATAAAGACAAAGAAAACACGACAATGAAAGAAAGTCAATCGAAAAAAAAAACACAAAAAGTATTTTGGAAAACTTTATCAATAACAACCAAGTCAAACAGATATAGTATATTTACGGACTATTAATTCATAACAGGGTTTACGTTTGTATGTTATAACAAAAAAGTAAAATGCTTATTTAGGAATTTATTTTATACCATTCCTAAAATATAGGACTTATTTCTTTTTTCCTATCAGTGTAATTTTCTTTGTCTTTTTTTTTCCGATTGACTTATTCTTCTTTGTCTTTTTTACCCTTGTCTTTACTACCGCCACTGAGGAAAAACAGCTAGTCAACAACACCCACCATCAACCCTCGTGCTAATCTTGTTGCACCAACTAGTGGGATTTGTCTGTCACTCATAATTCACCCATAGATTCAAAACGCAAAGTGACTTTTTTGCAGCAATGGTACGCGAAATTTGAAGTCATTAATTTACGATCTAGGCACGCTAACCACTTTGCCCCACCCAGCCCTTATCAGTACATTGTGCAACATGTGTAAGGACATATTTTATTCATGTTCATCAAGAAATACCTCAAGTGTTTGAAATAGTTTTAAAACCTCAAATTACATATAATCTCACTACATATTCATATTTGAAGAATTTAACCATCGTAAAACGTAGTTTTGTCATAAGTGCCATGGGTGTTTACAGGATTTTGGAAAGACGGATCTAAATGTTGGACTAGTTAGTATACGAGCTTATTGATATATATATATATAAGCCTAATTGTATAATATGTGTGTACTTTGTTTGAAGTTAAACGCAAAGCTACACAAAGGATTATCTGTACTCTGCCCACCACGGATATCGAAACCCGGTTTCTAGCGTTGTGAGTCCGCAGCATACCGTTGTGCCACTGGGGGCTCTGTACTTTGTATCAGTCATTGAATGCTATAATTAAACTAATTGTATTTCAAAACAAATATGTTCTTTTGAAGTCGAATTATTGTCTCATTATTTATTTCTCACTTTTATCTAGTTAGCATAACGTACTGTAAATATGAGAGTCCGTAATGCATGTCCTGTGCGCGTCCTGTTTCCGCAAGATCGCGTTCCGCATTTTCGAGCCGTAGGATCGTTATAAGAATGACAGTCAAATCTTCTATTTGATAAAAGTAGTTCAAGAGTTGGCGGTAGGGTCTGTTTTGCCTCTATCATTTTAAAACTAGGGATGGCAAGTGCAGATGACTTCTGTATACTTTTGCATAAGAGTGACAGTCGAATCTCCTATTGGATAAAAATAGTCCAAGAGCTAGTGGCGGGTACTGTCTGTCCTCTCTCAGTATAAAGTTAGGGACAGGAAGCGCAGATAACCATTCTGTATAGCTTTGCACGAATATCCGAAACATAAAAGTCACTTTTATGGTGTGTTCGTCTTTTTCAAGCTGGCAATGCATGATTATAATTAATTTCCTTGTTATTAGACATTAGTATCAAGTCTATTATATTTTCTTGACACTGCATTCTATATCTAGTCCCTTGGGGATTTTCAAGAATGAAACGAGTGTATAGTAAAAGTATTCCAGTCACATTATGTCCCGGCCGGCCTAATGAGCTCTGGATTGAGCGAAATGCGTTGGCAATGGATACGGCGAACATACTGTGATTGGAAAACTTCGAATTATTGAAAATCGCTAAAGAACTAGATACAAAATGCAGTATTAAAAATATAATAGGTCTAATACTAATATTTAATGACAAGCAAATTAATTAAACTTATTTTTAACTCTTGATGCTTTTTATAATAACTTAGGTTATCATTATCTGTACTCATTTCAGTTTGCTTCCTGTCATTTTCCTTTCAAATATTTTCTATAATTATCTTTTTTTGGCTTTGTGTTTATTGGTCTGTTTGTGTATATCTCTGCTTTTTTATTTTTGATGCAATTTTCAAGTATTTTAAGAGTCAAAGTATAGCGTCGACTATTATTAAAAAATAATCGTTATATATCATATAAAAAAAGAATTCCAACATTTCACATTCAGGAACTTTAGTTTAACTTGATTCAAACAGAAACACCGTCGGCGTGTATATTCGTTTTGGATTGGTTTGGTGTATTTGGAATTTCTCGCAAAGCTACTCGATAAACTAATAGGAAGGCAGCTAGTCAACATTACCCACCCCCAACTCTTAGGTTACTCTTTTACCAACGAATAGTGAGATTGACCGTCACTTTATAACGCCCCCACGGTTCAAAGGACGAGAATGTTCGGTGACAGGAATTCGAACCTGCGACCAGTAGATTACGAGTCGAACACCCTAACCAATAAATCATACCAAGCTGACAACGCAGGAGCATAGTTTCTGTAAACGGCTGTAACGGTTACATTATTTGAGGTGTAGAATTAAAGCTTTCCAGCACAGTTCACGTTGGGGCTTGGTATGACCCAATGGTTAGGATGCTCGAATCGCAACTTGTAGGTCGCGAGATCGAAACCCATCGTCAAACATGCTCGCCTTTTCATCCGTGGTGGCGTTATAATGGGATGGTCAATCATAATCTTCGTCGGTCAAAAATTGGCAGTGGATGTTGTTGACTATCTGCCTTCCTCTTAGTCTATCACTTCAAAATTAAGAACGGCTATCACAGGTAGCCCTCGAGTAGCTTTGCGCGAAATTCAACAGACAAACAGTTTGCGTTGAATGTTTACATTGATTTCTTTATCACCCAGGCCCGGCATGGCCAGGTGGTTAGGACGCTCGACTCGCAATCTGCGGGTCGCGGGTTCGCATCCCCATCCCACTAAACATGCTCGCCCTTTCAGCCGTGGGGGCGTTATAATGTGACGGTCAATCCCACTATTCGTTGGTAAAAGAGTAGCTCAAGAGTTGGACGGTGGGTGGTGATGACTAGCTGCCTTCCCTCTAGTCTTACACTGCTAAATTAGGGACGGCTGGCGCAGATAGCCCTCGTGTAGCTTTGCGCGAAATTCAAAAC